TGTTAGCGCATGCGCATTAGATTGCACGGCAGAAAGGTCATGTTTTAGATCTCTTTGTGGCTGGGTCTTTGTTAGAATCATCATCTTCCTCCATATCTGGAAATAATATGCACATTACACACTCTTTAATTGGCGAGCGGGAGCGAGCCAACCTAGTCGTTCGTTCGAGCGGAATTTTCTGTGTATATATATATATATATATAATATATATATATATATATATATGCGTTCGTACGTCGTGTAAGTGCGCATGCGCGTATTTGTACGCGCTTCTTTTTATCCGAAATTATTTCAACTCTCCTCCATTCGACCATCGGTGACTGACCGAAGCTGTACCTCTTCCCAATCTCAAGGTGCAACTTGCATAATACGCTAGGGCACATACTGCTGCATGCCAGTTGCCAGGTGGACCACGACTGACGAGCTGAAAGCGTAAGGTAAGTACCGTTCTGCTCACCTGCTCACCGTTCTGGCAATATACAGTACACATGCAACGGCGGCAGGTAGATCTGTCTTGCTTCACGAAAGGAAAGCTGTGCGCGTTATGCAGCCCGAACATCGCGGTGAAATCCCAAGTTGGGTCGCTCCCGCTCGCCAACAATGTTCAACATTTCCACTAGTAAAACCCTTATTGGCGAGCGGGAGCGAGCCAACCTAGTCGTTCGTTCGAGCGGAATTTTCTGTTTATATGCGTTCGTACGTCGTGTAAGTGCGCATGCGCGGCTTTCTACGCGCTTCTTTTTATCCGAAATTATTTCCAGATTTTTACACATTTTCACACACTTTGCCTTTGCCTATCGATCTAGCCGGCGAGAGAACTCTCCTCCATTCGACGGCATGCGCTGCAATCTTCGGTGACTGACCGAGGCTGTACCTCTTCCCAATCTTCATGGTTCCAAGGTGCAACTTGCGAATACGCTAGGATTGCTCGTGCACATACTGCTGCATGCCAGTTGCCTGGTGGACCACGACTGACGAGCTGAAAGCGTAAGGTAAGTACCGTTCTGCTCACCTGCTCACCGTTCTGGAAATATACAGTACGCATGTAACGGCGGCAGGTAGATCTGTCTTGCTTCACGAAAAGAAAGCTGCGCTGACAGCACGTTATGCAGCCCCAACATTACGGTCAAATCCCAAGTTGGGTCGCTCCCGCTCGCCAACAATGTTCAACATTTCCACTAGTATAGCTACAACCTTTACCCTCGGCGCGCATGCACAGCGAGGGTTACGGTAGTTGTTTCGTAAGTACGTACGTGACGTGTGTCAGTCTGTCAGTCTGTCAGTCTGTCATTTACCCTCGGCGCGCATGCGCAGCGAGGGTACTGTAGTTGGGTTTGTCTGTGTCTGTTACTCTCAATCTCACTTCTCTAATGTCTGTTCGTCTCACAAACGATACGATCTACCCAACGGGCGATGAAGGTCAGAAAATAAAGGCGGTTTTCTCTGAAAATGCTCCGTTGCAAAGCTAGAGCGCTTCCAGCATTGTATGGCTTGCCGGTAGTCGCCATTTTATCTCTGGCGGATAATGCGCATGCGCTTATATTTAGCACAGGCTTACCTCGAGCGGGTCCGCTTGCTCTGTCTATCTTGAAGGCACAAGAAGTCACAACGGATGGCGTGTATCGACTCTCGCGTGCTATCTACTACTGTAGCTAGCCCGTGTCAGACTCTCTGCGAGCTACTTCGCCGAGGGTTTGCACTTTAGTGCTTTTCATTCTGTCTGTTACCACGTTTTCTGCCACCGCGCGCACGAAATCAGGTAAATAGCGATATGATCGGGTTCAGTGCTACACTGGGTTGATTTTAAAAAGGCGATTTTCGTAAAACTACTGCGTTCTAAAGTTATGGCGTGAAAACCAAGTGAACAAGCCAATATGGTAATTAGCACAGGCTTACCTCGACTGCGTCCGCGCGCTCTGTGTATCTTGAAGGCACAAGAAGTCACAACGAAGGGCATGTATCGACTCCCGCATGCAATCTACTACTGTAGCTAGCCCGTGCCAGACTCTCCGCGAGCTACTAGCGCGATACAACGAGTAAAGAAAAGAAAAGCCCAGCCCATCAATTAGTGGTACCGCGCATGCGCAGTTCGTCGAGGGTTTGCACTTTTAGTGCTTTTCATTTCCACTGGTAGTTCCACGTTGTTCTTGATTCCCTCCCAGTTTCTCTGCCCTTTCCTTCTCCACAAGCTGCGTGAGATAGGCGTTTGCATCCGAGATAGGTTGGTCGACAGAGAAGAGAGGTAATCCTTCCCCTTCCCCACAATCTCCGCCGTCTTCTTGACCTCCATTTCTCCTCCTCTAGTCATTACCACACACTCTAGCGTGCTCATTTTTCTTCGCTGAACTACGGTTCGCCGTAGGCCAGCGCTATTTTGTCGTAAAACTCGTACACGGCGTCCTGGTCGATGGCTTCGAGGAAGTTTACGAAAGAGTTGGCGCGAGCGGCCTCCCAGCTCTGTACGAACAGGGCTCGCTCCTCGAAGTCGCGACAGTTAGTCCACGTGGTCGGGAGGACGCGGGCACCGAGAGTGCTCCGCTCCAGTTGCGCAAATAATTTGTGGGGAGTGGCGAGCGGCACGAGTTTGTCGAGGAACCAGTGCTTCTCGGCAGAAGTTAGTGTCACGAACCACGAGCAGAAGTGCTGGATTTCACTGTCCGTGTCTGCGACGACCCCGGGCGCGGGATGAGTGGCCATGATGCGCTAAAAATATGGGGTGGTATTTATGGGGTGGTATTCGTGTCAGTATTCAAACGTCGATTTTGCCGAGGCATTTCCGTTTTGCCGCGGCAAAATTAAACTGCCGCGGCAATTGCCCCGGCAAAACCTGGGCCGAAAAATCCGGGACATTTGCCGCGGCAAGAATAACTAGCTGGGCCATGTTCAATCGTGTCAGTATTCTTGTCGTTGCCGGGCCTTTTGCCGCGGCAAAAGTGCTCTTGCCTGGGCAATTGCCGCGGCAAATGGAAATTTGCCGAGCAAGAGCACTTTTGCCGCGGCAAAAGTGCTCTTGCCTCGGCAAATTTCCATTTGCCGCGGCAATTGCCCAGGCAAGAGCACTTTTGCCGCGGCAAAAGGCCCGGCAACGACAAGAATACTGACACGATTGAACATGGCCCAGCTAGTTATTCTTGCCGCGGCAAATGTCCCGGATTTTTCGGCCCAGGTTTTGCCGGGGCAATTGCCGCGGCAGTTTAATTTTGCCGCGGCAAAACGGAAATGCCTCGGCAATATCGACGTTTGAATACTGACACGAATACCACCCCATAGGTATTCGTGTCAGTATTCAAACGTCGATTTTGCCGAGGCATTTCCGTTTTGCCGCGGCAAAATTAAACTGCCGCGGCAATTGTCCCGGCAAAACCTGGGCCGAAAAATCCGGGACATTTGCCGCGGCAAGAATAACTAGCTGGGCTATGGGGTGGTATTCGTGTCAGTATTCAAACGTCGAATTTGCCGAGCCATTTCCGTTTTGCCGCGGCAAAATTAAACTGCCGCGGCAATTGCCCCGGCAAAACCTGGGCCGAAAAATCCGGGACATTTGCCGCGGCAAGAATAACTAGCTGGGCCATGTTCAATCGTGTCAGTATTCTTGTCGTTGCCGGGCCTTTTGCCGCGGCAAAAGTGCTCTTGCCTGGGCAATTGCCGCGGCAAATGGAAATTTGCCGAGGCAAGAGCACTTTTGCCGCGGCAAAAGGCCCGGCAACGACAAGAGCACTTTTGCCGCGGCAAAAGTGCTCTTGCCTCGGCAAATTTCCATTTGCCGCGGCAATTGCCCAGGCAAGAGCACTTTTGCCGCGGCAAAAGGCCCGGCAACGACAAGAATACTGACACGATTGAACATGGCCCAGCTAGTTATTCTTGCCGCGGCAAATGTCCCGGATTTTTCGGCCCAGGTTTTGCCGGGGCAATTGCCGCGGCAGTTTAATTTTGCCGCGGCAAAACGGAAATGCCTCGGCAAAATCGACGTTCGAATACTGACACGAATACCGCCCCATATAAAAAGGACTGCACATGCGCCGTGCGATACTCGCAAAAAATAAATGGCGACGACGTCTTGTGCTGCGGAGGGCGAGGCAGCAAGTGACAGTACACCTCCACCCGCTGTTACGCCGGCTAAGGAGGATCAGCCTCCGTTTCCAGATAAAGAATTTGATTTCGTGGAGCGACCGTCGCAGGATTTCTTCTGTCCCGTTTCGTTAGAGCTGCTTCTCGAGCCTCAACTCACCTCCTGTTGTGGCCATCACCTGTCGCTAGAGGTGGCTAACAGGCTGCAGAAGGAAGGTAAACCGTGTCCCGTGTGTAATAGTGAATCATGGAGCGCCATGCTAGACAAGTATCACGGTCGTAGAGTTCGCGAGGTTCGCGTACGTTGCTGGAACAAAGACAGTGGGTGTGGGTGGGTGGGGGAGGTGAACGGGTTGAAACGACACACGCTCTCGTGCGAGAAGCGGCCGTGGGAGTGCGAGTATTGCGGGCTCAAGTGTACGTATGATGAGGGAGAGGGAAGGCACTGGCCAGAGTGCTCTAAGTTCCCTGAGCCCTGTCCAAATGGCTGTGAGGTGGGCAGGGTGGAGAGGTGTGGGGTGGAGCAACATCGCAGTGTGTGTCCACTGGAGCCCGTGGCCTGCGAGATGAAGGAGTTTGGGTGTAGTGTCGTGGTCCCTCGCAGGGAGCTGGCAACACACATGAGAGAGAGCGAGCTCCAACACCTGACGGCCATGACTGCTCTCAACCTCCGTCTCACCAGACAACTCCAGCAGGACACCGCTGAGAGGGAAAGGAAGTTCGAACAACTGCGTCAAGACCTGACCGAGAGGGACCAAAAGTTTGAGCAGCTCGCCCGACAACTGCAGCTGGACTCCGCCGAACGAGGGAAGATGTTGGAACAATTGCAGAAGGACTCCGCTGAGAGGGACAGAAAGATAGTACAGCTACAACAAGACTCCGCTGATAGGGACAGAAAGGTAGTGCAGCTGGAACCATTGCAGAAGGACTCGCTGAGAGGGACAGAAAGATAGTACAGCTACAACAAGACTCTGCGGAGGGACGAGATACAGAAGATTGAAAGCACTAATGCTGTAGTAAAGGAAGAGGTGGAGAGTTGTGTTAAACACATAGACACACATACATTATGCTCTGGATGCAAGGTTTTGGAGTTCAGGAATTATCGCTATAACAAAGAGAAAGCTAGAAGGGGATCAGTGGACTCATTGAGTGACAAGTTTTATTCTCACAATGGCGGCTATGCCTTTAAACTGCTTATTAGATATTATGGGGAAGGTATAATGATATCGGGGCACATCTTTGTTTAGTGGAAGGAGAAAACGACGACCAACTCTCGTGGCCAGTGAAGGTCTTTGTCACACTAGAGCTACTCAACCAGGCTGGAAACAACAACCAGCTGCAAAGATGTAAAGCACTGAAGTTCGCTGAAGGGGAGAGAGTCGAGAAGAAGATTGATGATTCCTTGATTAAGTATGCTGTCCTGGAGAAGACAGGAGACAATTTAAAATACCTGCTGAACGACCGTCTTAAATTTAGAATCAGTGTATCTGTTCAGTGAGGATGTATGTTATTGAGTTGTGTGTTATTATGGTCTCAGCTGCAAACTGCTGCTGCATGCTTCGTATTTCACATTGTTTAGCAGAGTTTTGGGCAAATTATCTGGCTGCACCACAAATTATGCTTGTGCAATGTGTGTGCACGTGCAATCACATGTGCAATCGGGTAACAGCAGGTATAATACACGACACAATGAACAACTGTCAGTCTAGAGTGTAGGCTAACACTAGTCCCTTTCTGCAATAGCTGCCAATCTCTCATCAATTTCCTCCACTGAGAGAGTCCTGCACGAAAAATTGTTTCATTAATAAAATCAACAAGCGACAGACGGACCTGAATTTTGTGTTGTCTTTAGTGACGACACCAATCTCAATCTCACTGGACTTGAAGTCTGCAGACAGGACACTGGACAGACACATGATGGCCGTCTGCACACAACCAAAAGCATCAATCATCAGCAAATTCCCTTATTGTCACAAAAATGTACTGTGTTTCATTTGTTTTGAGCTAATGTTGACATTTTGTGGACTTGGAATTGCAGATGATTTACTCACTGAAAGTTCCCTCCTTCATTTTCAAGAAACGGTATATTAACCACTACAGATGTCATCTCGACTAACCTCGACAGTCTCCACGTAGCTCCACTGTGGTTTCTTGCGTATCTTCTTCTCCATGTAGTTATTGGCCTCGGTCTGTTTGGGACCAACACCGACTGCCCTGTAGCCACAGTAATGGCCGGCCGGGTCCGTCTTGTACACCTGAGGCCCTCGCTCCTCGTCAACGGCAATCAATACCATGCCTAATGAGAGGGGATAGGGGATTATGGGGAAATTCTTTTGGGAAGTGTTCAGTGGCTCTGACTAGCAAACATGCAGACTGCAAATTTTCCACATTATGTATGGTATGGGATTAGGGATAAAAGTCTTTGTAGAAGTGTGCAGTCCTGCCTACTAAACACAGATTTTCCATAGTTTGTGTGTAATACACTTGGCAGGTATGGGTGTATTACGCACAATTGATGCAAACTATGTGTGTTATGTAATACTTTTACCATGCTTTCTATATAGAGCACACTTCCTCACTTTCTTCCATTAAACCCTTATGGATGAAAAGCACTAAAGTGCAAACCCTCGGCGAACTGGGGATGCGCGTTACCGTTAATTGATGGGCTGGGCTGCTATTAGTATGCGTTTACTCGTGGTCTCCCGCTAGTAGCTCGCAGAGAGTCTGACACGGGCTAGCTACAGTAGTAGATAGTATGCGAGAGTCGATACACGCCCTTCGTTGTGAGGGTTAATAATTGGCGAGCGGGAGCGAGCCAACCTAGTGGTTACGAACGGCGCGATTTTTCTATATATATATATCTACGACCGTCGTCGTACGTCGTGTAAGTGCGCATGTGCGTCTTTGTACGCGCTTCTTTTTATCCGAAACTATTTCCAAATTTTTACACATTTTCACACACGGTGCCTGCCTCGCGATATGCGCCGATCGATCTATATAGCCAGCTAGAGAACTCCCCTCCATTCGACGGCATGCACTGCAACCTTCGGTGACTGACCGAGGCTGTACCTCTTCCCAATCTTCATGGTTCCAATCTGCAACTTGCAAATACGCTAGGATTGCTCGTGCACGTACTGCTGCATGCCAGCTGCCTGGTGAACCACGACTGACGAGTTGAAAGCGTAAGGTAAGTACCGTTCTGCTCACCTGCTCACCGTTCTGCCAATGTACAATACGTTATGTAACGGCGACAGGTAGCTCTGTCTTTTATTATTATTATTATTGAGACTTTACAGCACACAAAGAGACGAGATGTGAAAGGTAAGAAGATGGCAAGAGGATGGTAGTGCTGAGGGTCTGCTGGAGGTATACACCAGCAGCCTATGACACATAACTGAACAAAAACAAACATACTTAAGAGATTAGTTCATAGGAGAGAGGTGTCAAAGTTGGGGGAGATCGGGATAGAGCTACACTTAGCACATGGACACAGGTAGTGGAATGAGCATGGATTGTCTGGATTGAAGTTTGTAATGAAACGATTCCAAAAGAGTTCGTAGAGTTTGGACCTGATAGTAGATACGGAGTGATCTAAATTAAGAAGGGGGAGTGAGTTCCAGAGGCGGGGAAGACGGTTAAAGTAAAAGTGACGAATGGAGTTATTAGAAATAGGAGTAGTTTGTCTCAACTTGAAGTGCAAGGCTGAACGAGTTTGGCCAGAGCAGAATGTGACGAAACTAAGAATGTTAAAATGGGCTGATGGCTCTTTCAAGCCCTTTACGAAGAACAGAATATCACCAATTTCAAGGACCATCATTAGTGGCAGGAGATGAAGGTCGAGCAAACGGAGACGATAGTTAGAAACATAGTTGTTAAGAATGAATTTAGTGGCTCGTCTTTGGACATTCTCAAGAGCTTTAATATCTCTCAGAAGGTGAGGACGCCAGATGGGAGAGCAGTAAGCAGCTTAGAACGAACCAAAGTTATGTAGAGAACCCTTTTAGCCCGGGGGCAGTGAACAGAGGAAAACACTCTTCGAAGTAAACCAAGAACTCTGTATGACTTGGCCATGATATATTCATAATGGTCAGACCATCTGTCTTGCTTCACGAAAGGAAGCTGTGTGCTGACAGCACGTTATGCAACCCGAACATCACGGGCAAATCCCAGGTTGGGTCGCTCCCGCTCGCCAACAATGTTCAACATTTGCACTAGTATGGCAGATGTT